AACCTGTGAGAATTCAGCCTCGTTATGGCACAAGAAATTAGGTCACATCTCCAAGAGGATAATTGAGAAACTTGTGTCTAACAAAATTCTCGATCCCCTTATCTTTACAGATTATGATATGTGTGTTAACTATATAAAGGAAAAACAAATCAATAAAAGGAGATTTCAAGCAAACAAAACTTTAGACGTCTTTGAACTTATACATACGGACATTTGTGGACCATTCCCTACGGCTCTTTGGAATGATCAACAATATTTTATAATGTTTATAGACGACTTTTCTAGGTATGACTATATATATCTCATTCATTAAAAATCACAGTCGTTGGATGTGCTCAAAAACTATAAATCTGAAGTTGAAAACCAACTCGATAAAAGGATTAAAAGCGTCGATCTGACCGTGGTGGTGAATATGATGTCAAATATGACGGATCGGGTGAACAACGTCAAGGACCATTTGCTAAATTCCTAGATAAATGCGGTATCATCCCACAATACATTATGCCGGGTTCGCCCATTATGAATGGTGTTGTTGATAGAAGAAATAGAATGCTTAAGGACATGGTGAGTAGTATGATTACCCATACTACCTTGTCAGAATCACTCTGGGGTGAAGCATTAAAGACCACATCGTATACATTCAATAGAGTTCCAACTAAGGCCACTGATAAAAACCCTTATGAGCTTTGGACGGGTAAGATGCCTAGTTTGAAGCATGTACACATTTGGGGATGTCCAGCTGAGACAAGACTTTATATGGCAAATGAAATGAAACTGGATGCAAGGAATATCAGTTGCTATTTTATTGAATATTCTGAAAGATCCAAGGGTTACAAGTTTTATGATTCCACAACTAATGCAATTTTCGAGACAGGAAATGCCATGTTCTTTGAGGATGATGAGTTCGCGAGGGGAGAAAGGGTTACAGACTTTGTTTTTGAGGAGGAATACATTGAAATTCCTCCAATTTCCATTGCCAATGATCAAGATCAGGTTTCTATACCTGACATTGTTAAAGAAGCAACTCCGGATTAAGACAATGTCGTTATATTTCCCTATGAAGGTCAGAAACTTATTCTAGAAGCACAAACTTTACAGCCTCAAGAACCAATGTCATTAAGAAGCTCCACTAGAGAGATGTAAAGTGCGGATTCAGGTGATTATATCGT